AGGTTACAATTGACTAGTTTTTTCCCACCTTTGGTGTGTGCATGCGAGAGATGTAACTTTTTGCCTTTCCTTATCCGATTTTAGCTTTATTTTTGTAACCAAATTACTTGAATTGTATTGCTCAAATGGAATTAAAGCATCTTCGAGCAAATGCGGGGAGACGCGCGTTTGTTTGTTACGCTACCCCCATTGGCGGGAAGGAGCCATGAAACACGCAAATGTCTCGAAGGAACGATGTCTCTTAGATTGGCCGTGTTCTATCTATTCCCATCAATAAGCTGCCACGTATCCAGCGTGGTTGCCCTGATGACGTAATGAATATCACACCCGACTAGTATGTGGGGAGACGCGGGGTCGGAGCCTGTTCGGGACATGAAGTTTTTCTTTTATTTCGGTGACGTGTGTCGAAAGCCGCTTGTAAGTTGTTAACGTCTTTCAAACATTGAAAAATATATACAAAACAAACAAATTAGCGCAAAACAGACGAAAACAAAAACACCCTGCAAATTGTGTTTGAAACCATTTAGAAATATACTTTTTAGTGTAGCTAAACTTACTATAATAATAGTTTTGAAGCAATATTTTCTACATTATCTTGCCTGCAGGAATGGCCACTTTCCAGTAAAGGTCGATCTTTACTCTCATTATGGACAAGATATACTTCAGCAATATGAAAACTCTTTTCACGCTATTAATGTTTGTGTGGCATGAAAAGGGCAGGACCATCGCCACACAAGGTGAGTCAAGGGAATATTTTCCTCATGAATTGGTTTATAGGACTGTTCTTACTTCCTCGGAGAACTGAATGGAGACACGGTTAAGGATAAGAGTCTGGAAGGAGTGAAAGTAAATTATAAAGCATTGGACGGCACCCATAAAAAAATATAATTCAGGGTTTATTTCTGTGTCTGCTGCATTTATAATGCATGTAGACGCTATGATAAGCTGTAGAACGCGCTACTACTACTTCATATACGACAAGATCTCGAATTCACTCTTCATGTTTGGCTGCAGATTCCATTACGTGCCATGACGCATGAGTATTTTCGGCCTGTACTTCTTTCGGGTGGAAAATTCGCAATTCGTTCCTCAGGGGAATATTCGAACTAATTGGTACCAGAAAAGGAAAAAGGAAACAGCTCGTGACAAACGACCAACCCGGAACCAATCCAATACAAGAAAAAGACAACGTGAAATCCGTCAACAACCGTGTGCTTTCGAAGAAGGAAAACTGCAAAGATCGTTATATGTGACATCTCGTTTTATGTGTATAAGCTGGTTTCGGGATGTTCATTACTTGCTAGGTGATTGATCGTTTTTGTGGGATTATGAACTTATTATTGTATAATCCCATATAGTCATCGTTTATCTTGAAGGTTTGAGGATTTATGAAACCTGATAATTTCTCCCCCAATGTGAGCTAATAGTTAATGAAGATTTTGAAAACTCGCCCAGTGAGAGTTAATAGCTAATGAACGTAGTGATCTTCGCATTTACAAAACGGCAGACAAGGTGATATTTGAAATGAAAACCGCCTTTGCTTCTAGTAAAATCCCGTCTAAACGGCTCAAACAGACCCAGAAACACAGGTAAATAACAGTGCATTTATTTTACATGAATGTAAATGATTATGTCATTGCTGATACTGTGTTCGGGTCTCCTGTGCTTTGGGTGAGCGAGAGGATTTTCATGGATAGTTATCTTAAAACTTTTAAATCAGTATCTGCTTTTAAATTTAACATGAAACGTAAACTGGTGAAGAATTTTATAGATTCTTAAATATTAGTGTAAATAATTTTTTAGGGTCGTTAAAGTAGATTTTTATTGCTGCCAACTTATTTTTATTGTTGTACTTATTTAAATTTAAGTTGTTGTCTTTGAAAAGCCTCTTAGGGGAAAGTCAATAAAGTATGTATGCGTATACGTATGCATTTAATTAAAATTGCCTACAGGCAAAAATTTAAGCTTGTCCTTTGTTTTTAAAGCGGTGATGCGAGGAATAAAATCCCAACTTGCGGTGCTGGGGTGATCTCAAACCCTTCGGTGTGCTATGTTTGTGTTTTTCACGCTATGGTGTTCGGTGAAATAAAGTTATTTGCGGTGCTGTGGTTGCTTGTTTGACCTTTCTCAGACCTAAATTTAGCATCCAAACTTCGTTAATCCATGCTAATTTATGACAAGCATGTACCATTGTTTTTACCAAAATACATATATCTCATTAGATGTTTTGGTGTGTAGTATCGCTGTATATTTTTACGAGTTGTGCCGTAAAAAATATAAAGCGATATTACACACCAAAACATCTAATAAGAGATTTATTATCCAACTGCTGTAGTCAATAAATTTATCAATGAAAGAGGGGGAGTGTGACAGTTTTGCGTGCGCGCGCCGACCTGTACGGTAAACAGGTTTTCTACTGTACAAATAACTGTACAATATCGCTGTATATTTGTACTGTTATTTGGACGGTATTCACTTCAGTTGGATAATAAAGACCAACACTGTCTAGTTAATCTTCAATATGCTTCAGCTGCCAATCCGAAGCTGTTTTCTTGATACATAACTTGACAAGTACCTTTACATCTGCCATGAGGAACCCGGAGATAGACCGAATTTATAACTGACTGCGTACCTTTTTTAGCGGATTTTTTTAAGTATCAGCAGTATCAACATGTAGGGAATGAAAAGCGTTGTGATGTGTTTATTTCGTGGAAAATTGCTAACGCCGCCCGAGACAATAGAAGGTTAATCAAGGTAAAAGTTCGATTTACCCTGTGACCAGGCATGGTTTAGGTCGGTAACCAAGGTCGAGATAACAGATATATTCACTTGCGGTCGCATGGTATCTCGCACCTTGCGGTGTCCAGATTGCGTCAATCTCATTCGGTCAAGTTTTCGACAACGTTTGTTTTCATGGCAGAAAAGTAAGCCAAATCCGGACCAGCCACTCGGAAAATATATTCGAACGTACGTCTAGATAGTCTGATAGTCTAACACATATTGTATGTCCATGTTTGCTTGCCAGGCTTGGAATAAGTGAGCATTGTAAGTGTTGATCCTTATTTCTGATGGTGATCTTTTAAGAAATAATGTGTCATGCTTTAATGTGTTCCTGATAGCAAAGAGATAACTTTCTTCAGTTAATCCTAATTTTATCAGGAAATCTTCAAAGCTTATATCTTCACCATATTTCATGCCGTCAAGGACCTATTTAATTTTTTCAGAATTTTCTTTTATTAGTTTACTCTCCTTCTCATTATGATAGGATTCCTCAAGTGGTTTCAGTATAATTGTCCTGGGCATTGGTGGCGATAGAAAGTTAAATCGACATATGTTATTCCCAGATCTCTTGCAAGTTTTGGCATGTCTGTGCATTTGCAAATTGACAAGATTTTCCATTTCACTTGAACCGTTCGGCTTGTGGCAGATGATAAATTTATCAACAAATGCGACAACCTCTTCATTGGAATCTTTTTCATACTGTG